TTTTTTTTTTACTACTGACTGAAATACTATGTTAAAACATGTTCTATCTCATTTTAACACGAGGTTAGCCACTGAATTTGTTAGCTAGTTGACAACGATGAGCACACGTTTACTTACTATCTGATTTTGCAGGATGGACATCTGTATTTTGGTATATGTTCGCTGCACACAGTACATGTCTGCATTGTCCTACCGAAACGAGCTATCATTAAAAATCAAAACATAAAATGAAAACGGCTTAAAAGACATAGATATAAACACTAGATCCCTCATTGGCTGCTACGGCGCAGGATTTTTGGCCGCCATCTTGGAACGGTTGTCTATTCAGTTAAAGCTTAAGATGTCTCAGCACTTCGCAGCTTGTTTCTGTTCAGATCGACGGACTGTTGACGTCCGGTCTCGGGGGATAACTTTTCACAAGTAAGATGAACATATTATTGTTAGTATTTTGTGAATATAATATTACTGTACTGTATTTATGTCCACCAGCTGATGTGATGTTCAGTGTAACACGGTATTCAGCTGCAATGATGCTAACTGAGATCTGATGACAGGAATATTTTTCTAACAAACATACTCACTATTTTAGTAGCTTTGGTTCATTATCAAGAGATATGCATCATAATTGGAGTTTTGTTTAAGTTGTTTTTGTATGTATGTTAGTTAAGTATGTTTTTGTGAAGACACAAATCTCCTGTTTTCATTTTGAAGGTTTCCCAAAGAAAAAGATGTGAGGAAGAGGAGGAAGTATCTTTGAGGAGGATTCATCTGAGCAGTGAGGATTTTAAACTGGAGGATTTTGATCAAACTGGTCAGACTGTCCGACTGAGAGATGGTGTGGTACCATCGGTTCACCTTCAAAGAGTAGGAGCATCATTATAAGTTCATTAGAGTTCATAAATGTACATATTTTATTGTCAGTCACAAGGTGAGACACCTCCATCTCCATGTGTTTATATGAACAGGTAACTATAGACTGTAAAGTTCATATTCATGATGTTTTTTCATTTCAGCTTGAAAACTGCAGGACTACAGGAACTCAACAAAAGCTGGAGCTGCTCTGTCTGTGGCCTCTCAGGAACGTGCACGTCACACACACACTCTCAGGAACGTGCACGTCACACACACAACCTTGGCCTCATGATGTGAGTATTTCTATTTTAAACTTTTATTTTTTTCATTTACCGTTTATTTATACAGGTAGTCTCATTGAGTCACGAGAACTCATTTTCTAGAGAGACCTGTTTAGGAGCAGATGGTGGGGGTTGAGTGCCTTGCTCAGGGGACCAGGGTGGGGCCAATGAGGGTGGAGGCAGGTGTGGGTGTTTCACATTTTCCACCTCATTTTGATGTTGACGGTACCGGGAGTTGAACCTGCGACTTTCTGATCACAGGCCCATATTCTAACCTCTGCTCCACCACTCCCCCACATAACATCATATCATGATGGTCATATTAAAATCTCACTGGTTTCCTTCCAGATGTGTTAAACAGCTGCTGGTCCCCCTGATGTTTACAGGTGGCTGTGGTCAGTGGATGAAAAGCCTGGCATGAACAAGATGATGCTGGAGATCTTCATTTGACGAGAGCTCCCACCTTCTAACTGTGAAGAACAAGAGCAGCTCAGTGATTCCCTCAAGGCTCAGTGAAGGTGCTGAGAGCTACAGAGAGGCTGATCCATGGAGCTTCAACACAGCAACCTCCAAACATGTCCACCCTCACACACATCGTCCATGAAGACACTGGACCAGAGCACAAGATAATAAGACACTGATAACAACAACAACAATACACATTCACAAATGATTCATACAAATTTTTTTTTTTTTTTTTTTATTGTTTGTTTGTTTTACAATTGAAAAACAGTTTGTTATCCACTGTTGTCATCACTCTTTGTTTAAATCCAGGTCTCTCTTGTAAATGAGTCCTATTGGCTCAATGGAACTAACCTGTATCAATAAAGGTTGAATGAATATATAGATATACATAATGATTTATTCAACCTTTTATTTATACAGGTTGGCTTCATTGAGCCACAAGGACTTGTTTACAAGAGACCTGCTCCAGACAGAACAGTAAACAATGGCAATGATAAACTACAGTAAAAATGATAGAGATGATATATATATATATATATATATATATAGATATATAGATATATAGATATGTATATGTGAGAATGAGTTTAGTATTCAGCTCTGACTGATTAAACGCGCAAATACTTCATTGCTCCCGTCAAACAGGTTACACTGAGTGGAGCGGTCGACCGTTTCAAGATGGCGGCCCTACAGCTCGTCAGCGCCAATAGGCGATATCGGTCAATGCTGTATCTAGTCATATATGATATCTATGTTAAAAGATACGAGTTAAATAGTACTTCCGGTTCAGTCGTTTGTCTTTCAAAATAAGAGCACGTATTTCCGGTGAAGAGAACCTCGATCTGTAAATACGCCTCGTTTTTTAATCGTCCATCAGATGTGGCCCTCCAGATACGCCTTCCGTATAGACGAATACTGGAAATATTTAGTATGTGTAGTACACCCGGTATTCACAGTATGATATTGAATTGTACTTTTTACTTTACCATGCTCTCCTCCTGCAGTAATGCATCGCTGGTCAGTTAAAACAAGTTTTTTTTTTCCTGCTGTGTTTACAGTTGTCGCCTATATTATATACCCGATTGTCATAATAAAACGCTGTAATAAAATATTTCATAAATGTTTTAATTTACAATTTCCTGTCCTGTGAATCCTAAAGTTATAACAGCTCCATAAGAAAAAATAAATAAGCAAAGCAGACGAATCAAGAGCGACAGAAAGAAGTTCACAGATTTAAAGATGCTTTCTTCCATCTATTATTTTTGTACCCGCTTCTTCCTTTTCGGGTCGCAGGGGTCGCTTTCTAAAATCAAGTTTAAAAATGTTAAAAGTTAAAAGCATCAAATTTAGGGATTCTTTTAAATTCTATTTATAAAAAAACGCCATGTAAGACATCAGAATAAAACATTCCAGGCTTGGTTAATTAAGACAATATTTTATTGAAATAAAATGCAGTATAATACTTTCTGCACCCCCACAACCATAAGCAGCATGCATATCTATTTACCAAACACACACCACTGACCTACATAGCTCAACACACATTTATTCTTGTAAAGCTGTAACACGAGATAGTGGGTCTTGTTACAGGGTAGGAATGGAGAGCCGTTCCGTCTCGTGTCCGGTGAAAAGGACATGTCCACAAGGGCCACAACCTCAATTTGCTGGATCAGGAAAGTCAAAAACCCAGAGACGCTCAGACGTGATCAAGATGAGAACACGTGTCTGGATCTGAGTGGGAATAAGAATAAATAATTCACAATAAACAAAAGTTCAGACAAATATTTTAAAAAAGTCCTCAATAGACATAATTTGATATATGGTGTTACATAGGAATCTACAACGAGCCAACAATGCGGAAAGGTTTTCTGCTGAGTTTATTTACAGGGGGGGGTGTGCCATGCTTCACTGATCAAGGAAACTTTTTATTATAAACAGGGGAAACCCTAAATCCTCATCAAGGTCACATTTCTTATGATGCGGGGGAGACGAGTGCATGTGTTAACCTTAAAAACAAGTCTTACTTGTAAATAAGCTCTCACAAAGACGAGCTCTTGGTCCTCCTGCGCTTCATCTGGCTGTTGTGAAATTTCTCTGCTATCTTCCGCTCGTGTCCAGCGGGGCAATGGCGGTTCGTGTTCAGCTCGATCTCCTTCTTGGACCTGCCTTTGCCGCAGGCGTGGCACGAATATTCCAGGAGGTTATAATAATCGTACTGGTCGTAAAAGGCCTCTTCGAAAGAGGCCAATCTATCAAGATCTGCCGCCATGGTTCGGAGATGAAACAATAAGTAGAGCACACGCAGAAAGGAGCTCGAAGCGAGTAAACAAGATGACGTAGGAACCCTTGTTTATATACACGAGCCACGTGACCACTCCAGCTGCTTTCGCGTATTTGTGGTCTTGAATGCGGTTTACAGCGACCGCGTTCACGTTTACTGTTACATCTGCTGATTTAGATCAGCACGAAGGATTGAGCAAGTTTTAATTTTGAGATAAAAATCGAAACGCTGGAATTAAAAATTTAAATAGTATTTCTTAGACTAAAGTAGAAATTTTGACAAAAGATTTTCGACATTGTATCTAAAGCTTATGGGTACACTTGTTTAAGTAGTTTTTTTTAGTGTGGTACAGTATTTTAATGCATGTCAAATTTATTTATTATTAAATTTGTTTGCTTACATTATTTATCTTCAGTAAAAACGAATACTGCAGCCTCGCCCACGTGGGATTTTGAAGTCAACGCTCGTTGGACATTTTTGAGACTCTTATTGTGAAGGATTGATACAGCAACTTCCGTTGCACCTTGACTGGTGAGTTCAACCATAAAGGTACTCTTTGGCCAGTCTTCAGTAACTTTACAATGAATACTTAATAAATCTATGCATTTCAATCGCTACTTGTATGTTATAAAGGAAGTCAGTCTCCGCCAGTAAAAAGAAATTCATCTTTTTTTTTCTTGAGTGACCCTAATACCTAATCATACAACAACGATCTGCCATGTTTAAATTTATTCAACGTAGCAAGTCGGCCATCTGGCCTAAAACATTTGATTTTTATACATGATGATTGATTGTTTTGGACGGATGGGTCCTTTTGCATGTGTTAAACGCCTGCTTCTGAGATTCCAACGGGAGGTTGGCTTAATGAAGGCTACTTATGGGACACTCTGGCAGGCCGCAGACTGATGAAGTCTTCCAGATCGAAGACGCAACGTTTAGCCCTTTAAAAAACTGGTCCAGATGAAATTATTTAACCTTTTTTGTTGTTATCTACCTGGATGATTGAGCCTACAAACATTTATTCAACGTACGTTAGTGCAATGTTTTGTTTTGAAGCTGTGCAAAGCGACCCGCCCCTTTACGTGTCTTACGTCATGACGCTTCTCACGTCGCATCTCCAGTCTAGCAGGAGAGTGCTTTGCGTCTGTATGCGTGTCTCCAGCTAGGCCGGAGAGAGATGGCGGCGCCCGTACTCAGAGTGTCCACCCCTCGGTGGGAAAGAATAGCCAGGCTTATAGTTTGCCTCCTGGGTATACTTCTGTCTCTGTACGCTTTTCACGTCGAGAGGGAAAAGGAACGGGATCCGAGTTATGAAGCCCTGTGCGACATCAGCAGCTCCGTCAGCTGCTCAAAAGTGTTCAGCTCGAGGTAATTTGAATTGAGCGAAAGAGCGCCTTCTCCGGCGCTAATTGAAACTCAGACTGGGAAGGGTTGCACGGTTCAAACTGTCAATATCTTACTTAGCTTTACCACAAAGGCTAACTGTAAAAACACGGTTTAGCTACAGGAGAGATGAAAACTCCTCAGTGACTAGTTACCCTGCCTGAACGAAGTTAAGTGGTTACTTGTCATTTATTAAGCGTAGCGTTAGCAATTTAGCTTGACGAAGCTAACTTTGCTAACCGTTAGCATGAGTATTGTAGCTACTTCTGAGCGCTTCGATATCAAAGGGAGACGTCAGCTCTGCCTAATAACCAGTATAGACTTCCTTACTCGTATGCAACACCAACTTTAGTACTAGAATTGATAGTTTGGGTAGACTAGCTTGTGCTGAATGTCGAAGATACCCTGTTGACCGACACTACCATTTCCTGTGGGTAAAACTCTTGGATTTCTGAAGTTCCCCATCTGGAGGACGGCTACATGAGCTGTCATTAAACAGCAGCCAGACCTCGAAGTTAAAGCGCACATCCTGGCTGCCTACAGAAAAATTAAAGCTCAAACAGTGCCTCTTTCAGCTCTCAGCTTGCTTACTATGTATACATTTCAACACAAAGTATTTCTTCCTATGGAAGTAGGTTTACCCATAAAGCCATGCCTAATCTCTTTATTTAGGTTAAGCTTACATTCTTCAAACAACTTAAACATTTAGTAAATTTTTACTTTGATCCCTTTAAAGCTGGTCTAGCAGCTACACAATTTAGCTGCTAGACCAGCTTTAAAGGGATCATTGATCTGTAAATAGAATGAATAAAAACAAACATCTAAATGGTAAATGGACTACTTATCTAACGCCTTTCTTATTTCAAGATACTCAAAGCGCTTTACACAACAATCTGTGTCCTCATTTACGCATTCATACAACACTACTAGATCTCTACAAAGCTAATTGAACAAATCATTCTAATGAGACTAATCAGTGCTTTAGATCACATTCATACACTGATGGGACACACATCAGAGGCTATGAGGGGTTCAGTGTCTTGCCCAGGGACACTTCAGCATGTGACTGCTGGTGGATTCGAACCCCCAACTCTCGCATTGGAGGACGACTGCTCTAACCACTCAGCCACAGCCACCCCAAATCCCCATCTGTACAGTTGCACTCGATAAGCCACAGAGATGACATACCTGTATTCAACCAGTCTAAAACTTTGTTTGTTATAATTTAACACTTGCCAGTTTTATGGGTCTTACATTTAGGATGTAAAATGTAAATGAGAGAGACCTTGTATATAAACCAAATGTGTTTTATATGACTTATTTAATCTTATGATGACAAATAGTTTGAATAGTTTATGTTATAGTCTTGGATGTAATATTCTGCACAAATGGGGAAAAAAAATTCAAATGTAAATGGCAATATGTTTTCTTAAATAAAGCAAATATTGTGCTAGTATTTATAATATGTAAAAGTTATTTGGAAACATTTACCTTGTTTTGAAAATATTTAAAAGACAACAAGCGTGTAAGAGTCATGTGTAGAGACGATGATAAAATTAATTTGATTGATTTACCTGTATACAGGTACAGAGTCTCCAGACAGGACATCAAACCTGGAATGCTGACATTTTCTTATTGATAACTTATTGATGGGTTGTTCATGTTTTAGGCTGTTGGTCAACAGTTCATTTGTGAAGAGCATTTCACGCAATTGTACATAAAACTTTTTGGATGGATTAAATGCATGTGCGAAATGTTTCCATCACTACAGAATGTGATTGTTTCCTCTCAATTTTAGAGATGTAAAGTGATATTTAACTGCTGAAAATTTGCACTCAGAGAAAGTTTTAATATTTCTGCGCCATAATGTGATAAAAAAAGAAAATCTATCGACGTTTTTTAATGGAATAACTGACAACAAGGCCAAGTTTTTTTTTAACTTAAAATTAAATTCAGTGTCACATTCTTGTCTGGTTGTACAGTATATATATATATATTTTTTCAAACAAAACTTGTTGCACACATAGAATTTTGTTGTGTTTATTTCCAATTTTACAGACAAAATGTTAAAATCTGATGACACAGCTAAGAGTCTGTCATTTGAGTGCTAAGGATTTGACCAAAACGGCTAAAACTTTCATTGTTTCAACAAAAGATGATCTTTGTTTAAAACTCTGGCATAACATCTGTCTCTGAGTTTAACAGGACTATGTATTGATGTCTTTAAGTGAAGTTGTGACTGTTTTTGCTGGTGTTTTTCCTGTTTAGGTGGGGTCGAGGATTTGGACTTTTAGGTTCAATATTTGGAAATGACAGCGTGCTGAATCAACCCAACAGTGTCTACGGGATAGTCTTTTATGCCTTTCAGCTTTTACTAGGTAAGGTGTTATTTTAGTGAAAGAACTTCATCATAGCCTTTGCTCTAGTACCAAATGCTGACTGCTCTTTGCCATGTATATTTGAACAAACCTGACTGACGTGATGCTGGATTCATGTTGGGTGACAGTCTATAAACAATTTTGTTTCATAGATCCTTTTAGGTCTGACTCATAAAGATGCTTCATGCCATGCTTGTTGGAACTTGAACATTTTGTTCTAAACTTTTGGTTGCAGTTTTTGTCCTCAGCACACTGGTAGTGATGCTGACTCACTGCTAGTTTGCTGTGTTTGCCTGCAGTGTGGCCTGTAGGCCCGCGTGGCCACCTGGGCCTGGCACAGAACAAGATGTCCTTTTAGCCACAACAGTTATGACTCATTTGACTAACACAGAAGCCCAGTTGAACCAAGCTGCCACAGCAGGTCAAGATTTTCATATTAAAGACTGTGCCAGTTAGTTGTAAAACTGATTATTCTGAAGGGCCCTGTTCACACTTGCCATGTGTTCTGACTGGTTCAGTCACAAGTGCTCAGCTTTAACATCAAGTGTTCACACCTGGTGTTAAACGTGTATGGAGGGATCTGAATTAATTTGTCTGTTCAGCTTGCAAATAAACATGCAGCCACATCACTGGACTGTCAGTGAGCAGCAAACTGTGACAGCAGGTCTGCTGATGTTTCTGCAAAACCTACGTTCAGATCTAAGCAGAGGAATTGAAATTTATTTTAATGCATAAATCGCTGATTAACCCTGCTGCTTGTGTTTGTTTATATCAGTTCAGTAGGAGGCCTACAGTGGGGATCAGGACAAACTGCACTCAGAAGTATGTGCATAAAAGAGGGTCCATCCTATCTCCACAGGTGGTCTAGGTGTAGATGTTTTCAGTATGCACTGAGAGCATTCACACCTGTATTTAGCACTGAGAGTGTTCACACCTGTATTTAGCACTTTCTGAAAGCAACCAGATTACCCAAGAAGGATGTTAGCACCTGGTTTAAACAATGTTACTGACTTGAGATCATCAAAACTGTGTAAATTAGTTTTTTTTTTTTCTTTCCATTTAGCCTTTATTTATACAGGTAGTCTCATTGAGCCACGAGAACTCATTTTCAAGAGAGACCTGTTTAGGGAGCACATGGTGGGATTAAGGGCCTTGCTCATGGGCCCAGAGTGGGGCGAATGAGGGTGGGGGCAAGTGTGGGTGTTTCACCTACCCCACCCACAATTTTGATGTTGTCGGGGCCGGGGTGTGATCCGGCGATCTTCGGATCACAGGCCCACCTTTCTAACCTCTGCGCCACCACTCCCCAAATCAATAACCAGTGTCTAAATCAACCATAGAGCATAAAGTAGTTGTGCTTTTTCCACAAGCTATGTGATGCAACTTCAGGTTTTAATATGATAAACCACATTAAATTCAAACATTTGGAAAGTTCAGTCATTTAATGGTCAGTTTCTGTTGCGCCTCATGTGACAGCAGAATAACGTGACCTGTCTGCTGAACATTAAAGTAAATCATCACAAGAAGGCACGTAATAAATGAATATTAATAAATATTTAAAAAGAAGAGAACTGAGCCTTAGTAAAAGGGGCAGTTGTGGCTGAGTGGTTAGAGCAGTCGTCCTTCAATGCGAGAGTTGGGGGTTCAAATCCACCAGCAGTCAAATGTCTAAAAGTGTCCCTGGGCAAGACACTGAACCCCTCATAGCCTCTGATGTGTGTCCCATCAGTGTATGAATGTGATCTAAAGCTCTGATTAGTCTCTTTAGAATGATTTGTTCTATTAGCTTTGTACAGATCTAGTAGAGTGCTGTATGAATGGGTAAATGAGGACACAGATTGTAGTGTAAAGAGCTTTGAGTAGAGCTGGACAATAACTCGATATCAATATATCTCGTGATATACTTTTATTCAATAACAATATGAATTTTAAGCACATTTTCGATATTTCGATAGGATTACAGCGTTTTCTGTTCGGGTTGAAGCGGCCGCTTCAGTTTCAACCCGGACAGAAAAAGGTGCAACACAACTACGTAAGTGCATGGTGACGTAATGTTACGCAGAGCTCGAGTCCAGAGGTAGCAGGCTAAGCTAGGCTAATCTTCAACGCGCGTTATGTTTTCTCTTTAAAATGAGTGCCCATGACCGTCAGAATGTGACTGAACAAGCTTTCACAAGCGAAGAGAAAGCAGATGACATCACTGATAAGAGGGAAAAGACTAATTCGCTGGTTTGGAAATGGTTTGGCTTTCTACGATCCGATAAACTGCAGGCTTCAGTCATTGTGCTGCAAAATGTGACAGAGAGTCGTTCTAACTAGCGGTTGGAACATCTAACTTGTTCCACTTGACAGAATATGATGAGTCACAAGATGAAGCACAATAAAAGTTTGAGCCAATGTGTCCCTGAAACACCCCCAGCGTTGCATGTTTTTTCTTTTGTTTGTTTTTATCATTTATTTATTCATTTAAAATGAAAAAAAATTCATCAGAAAGAAAAAAAAAACATTGAATGAAAAAGTTGCAGAAAGAAGAAAAAATTCTTATCTGCCCCTAATTTAAAAAGTACAAAATAACTACAAACAACAACCTTGCCTTGAACAATCTCCAAACTGAAAACAAAAGAACTTCAGGTATCCTTCACCTGGTACTAAACCTTCCCAACAACTTTAACTATCATCTTTTTAAACATATAAATTGTTTTAGAAATTTTATGGTGATATCAAAACAATTCCATAATCCTGTTCCCTGAATTACAACACAGCTCCTTCACACTAGTTCTAAATGGAGGTTTTACAAACATTTACATTCCCTTAAGTTATATTGACTCTCCTTTTTTAATAATTATTTTTTACAAATTTTAATTGAATATTTGGGGCTAATATTTTGATGAGTTTTATGCATGACTTGTAAAATACTATATTCAACCAAATCATAACATTTTAATAATTTCAACTGATTGTTGGGTGACCATAGCACTTCATACTACTAATAATTCTTACAGCTCTTTTTTGTAAAAATAAAAATAGGGTTTGTAATTGTTTTGCATGCTTTTCCCCAAACTTCATTACAATAGATTAAATATGGAACAATCATTACATTATACAATATATACAAAGCTTTGTCATTCAAAAACTCTTTTTACTTTATACAGTAATGCAATTGATTATTTTTATTTTTAAGTATTTTACATGAGATTTCCATGTCAGCTTCTCATCAATAATGAGACCCCAAAATTTTATTTCATTAACAACGAATTTCAATGTTGTCAATTTTAAAGTTGTTGTTTAAAGTCAAAACTATTAATGTTGACAAAGTTGAGAACTTTGTTTGACAGTGATTTCAATTATTTTGAAGGCTAAATACAAATAAAAGGTGAACAATAATTTATTTGTATAGTTTGTAGTTTTTCTGAGGCTTTTATATTGTTTATATCGATATCAAATTATATCGTTATCGACCGAAATTAAGAAATATATCGTGATAAAATTTTGGCCATATCGTCCAGCCCTAGCTTTGAGTATCTTGAAATAAGATAGAAAGGCGCTATACAAGTACTGTCCATTTACCATTTACCATATAAAAAAGAGCAGACTCATGAAGATTTTTGTGTGTTTTGTAAGGTTGTTTTTTCACTTGGCTAAGCTCTAGTTTGTGTTTCTTGTCATAGGGATGACTGTCAGTGCAATGGCTGCCCTTTTTCTCATGATGACGTCCATCTTGTCAGTGGTGGGCTCGCTCTACCTGGGCTACATCCTCTACTTTGTCCTAAAGGACTTCTGCATCATCTGCATCACCACATACGCGCTGAACTTCATTCTCTTTCTTCTCAACTACAAGCGACTGGTTTACTTGAACGAGGCCTGGAAGCAGCAGCTCCCGGCCAAGCAGGACTAAAGCTGCCGAGGATGGCAAGAAAAAACGAAAAGAACGTGACCTCTGAACATTTGACTTGCCACCAGGAGACCTTGCTTCCAAACCATGTTTATTCTGCTGTGTGTTCAAAAAAAATGAAGAAATTACCGTAAATATCGGGCCTAACATCTCAATATTGATCACAAACACTGAAGGATTTGTAAGAAAAAGGTGTTTTTTTTTTTTTTTTTAAATCCTTTCCTCCCTGCCTTGTTTAACCTTATAGTCTCATTCAAGGGACAAGCTGTGTGCGCATGTGCGTGCGCGTGCACCAGGCAAAACATAACAGCCCAGGCAAGCAGAGGAGAAGTCTGCAATACACACTCATGGAGGACAGCTTTCGTTTGAACAAAAAGGATCGCAGAGTGGACAAAGAAGACGCTGGACTTATTGGTTTTTTTTTTCCAGTGTTGAAATTGTTAGAAACTTTCTGTTACTGCACAGATCATCTGCACTAAAATTTGGAGCTGAAAAATCATCCCAGATATATATATATATAAAACACCAATCTAGTGAAGTTTCCATTTAAGGTTCCCTGGCAGGATGAGAAGAGGGTTAATGAAAATTAGTGTTTTTATTTTCCTCCATGTTTACACTTTGTAGTACTTTTTTTTTTTTTTTTCCCAAGGACCACTAAAAATAAACACGTAACAGTGTGAGGTATTGTGTAGATCAGTGAGATAGTTTTTTTTTTTTTTGCATCTCTGTAAATAGCTGCTAAGCAATATTTCAGGCTAGATTGTGATTTAATTTTATTTTTTTTTGTGTCAGCACAACAAATGAAGCTAACGCTAAACAGGAGAAGACGGCCGTGAAACGAGGCAGTCCTGGAAGAAGTCCGAGGACGTGTGCACTGCATCCTCCTCTCTCTAACTCTGGTTCAGATCTACATAGCGGGTGTAGTTTCATCTGAAGCATCTTTTAAACAACTGCAAGTTATTATTATTATTAATTTTTTTCTGTTTGCATACAAGCACGCTCACTATGTGTGTGTGTAAAAATCATTCCTGACCACACGTGGGATCATTGAGACTTATGTGCCTAAAGGAGTGTTGAGGTGAATTCACCTTTTAAGTGTTTTGGTTGGGTAAGGTTTCGTTTTTCCTCGTCTTATTGTCACAGGGGCATGGCTTTATTTTTATGGTCATAGTTTTGTAAATGAAGATACCAGTGAAGTGTTTCTCCCTAATAGTCTCACAAGGTAGCAAATGCCTGCTACTCTGTGATTGTCTACTCGAGGGTGGAGAGGCCCGGTGGCTGAGGAGTCTAGCGGTTACACCAATGTCCGCTGAGCTGTCGCGTACATTCAGTTGAGCTGATAAAGATGAGTTCATTTTCAGGTGTGAACAAAAGTTGGGCGAACGCTTTGGAAGCTGCACAAGACATTGGGTTAAGCCATATGTTGTTTTTTTTCTCCTCACTGTTTTCTGTCGCACCAGATGGTTGATCTAACACAGTTCAGCTTGTAGAGAGACGGTTTTTATCCAGGAGCCAAAGGTGCCATCATTAGACAATCGTGCACACCTTCAAAGGTCTGTAATTGTCGTAATTGTTCTGGTCTGTGGTAATAAACCGTCTTCTCTATAGTTCATGTTTTAGTAGATCTTACATTCCCAGTCATCTGTTGTGAAATACAAGGAGAGTATGGATAATAGCTGTCGAGACGATAATACTTGTGCTTTTATTGACAAAGCACTTTTTTAAAAAAGCGATACCGCTTTTTTTTTTTTTTTTTTTTTTATATCTCTTCTGACCCTTTTATTTTCTACTTGTTTAAGTTTATTTTTACAAACCATGTATTTTAGTCATGAAAGGTCCCCTCCTTCCAGGCAGACTTTGCTTTAATAAACAATTTTTTGTCATTTGAGTTTAAGTAAATTATGTCTCTGACAGGTAACATTACTGTTTGACACTTTTCACGTTTGACATTTTAAGACTTGTTAAAGAATTAATTTGCAAATATTCAGCTGGCATTTGAAGTCTGAGGTTGTCAGTAAATACATTTCAAGTCTTTGCCACGCTCAAAAGAAATGGAACCAATGGCTGCTTGGAAAAGATTTAGACATTTTTGCTGCAATTTACATGAACTTCATTGATGGTAATGTTTTAAAAAAAAAACAATTTCCAGTCTGTCGTCCATCACTGAACAAACTAAATGTTTTCATTGTGTCTTAAATCCTTTGGGATCTTTAGATCTGTCCATTTTTACCAACCTCACCGTGGTTTGTTTTAAAGTCTACTTCACATCGTCCTTCAGAAAAGTCAAACTCACAGAACTGTTTGTGTACATTTTATTTCTGGTTGGCATGTCTACACCATTAAGAGTTAACAGAACAGACGGTTTTATTTTTAAAGAAGGCGTGTCGAGTGTTTTAATGACCATGTCGAAGCGATCAACGCTGCGTGCTCATCCATGTTCACGAAGACCCTGAGGTATAACTGCCATGTTAGATGCATCAGTAATGCCAACAAAAGTGCCTTCTGTCTGATCACTGGGCCTTGAGCCAAAGAAACAGTAACAGCCTTGGAAAAAGAACGAATGCTATACTGCATCAGGCACTTCTCACTTGCCTTCCTGAGAATGGAATCCCAAATTGGTAATTCCCAAAGATTATCTAATAACAGTGCAAACATACATCCATAATCTGCTAAACTACAACCCTGATCAATTACAGTCTGTTTTTCTTCTTGGACTCCACTATGTAACTAATCTAGCTATAGACTTTATTGTTAGCTAGGAACTCTGTTCAAACAAGATTGTAATGTCCCTCAACACCCCCCCCCCCCCCC